GAGGAGGCACAAAAGCTGGTGGACAGGCTGCTGAAGGATCGGCTGGGCCACCTAGCGTTCCTGGTCATCAGATACCTTGACCGACAGAGGCCCAGAAACAACACAATGTCGATCATGAACACAGCGAGAGGCAGCATCAGGTGTGGAATCTCCGCTGCAGACGCCGCTACTGTTGCCAGCGAGTTTCTGAAGGACCTTATTGCAGCAGGGCATTTGGCTCCTGAGAAGCGTACCTCGCCTGCGACCCCAGCAAGATGAAGAGGGCCAGGAAAGCGGCGATGATGGAGGCCAGAAAGTTGGACAAGGGGAGGCTTCAGGAAGAAAACAGGATCATCGGCATGGGGTACGATGGCCGCAAGGATTCTCACACCAGGACGCTGGTAGCAGACGACTCTGGCAAGGTGAGGATGACAATGGTAAAAGAGGAGCACGTGACGGTCAGCGAGGAGCCCAGCGGGAGATATCTCAGTCACTTCGTGCCCGAAGAAGTGGTTCCGCCTGAGAAGCCAGCCCAGAAGATCGCACAGGCTCTGAGGGATCTGCTGGAAGAGTACGACTCCTTGGACTCTCTGAAGCTGCTGAAGGGAGATTCCACGAACCTCAACACTGGCTGGAGGAGGGGCATTCACGCTCATCTGGAGCGGCTTCTGGAACGTAGACTATACTGGGGCATATGCAATATCCACACAAATGAACTGCCCCTCCGTCACTTGATCAGTGCGGTCGATGGGCCAACCAGCTCAGACAAGGGGTTCATGGGGCCAGTGTGCTCTCAGCTGGGTGGAGTCTGTGATATGGAGTACGACCCCAGTTTCAAAGCGATGCCGGGAGGAGAGGATCTGATCCCCATCCCAGAAGAGGTGCTGACAGAGATGAGCAATGACCAGCGGAACTGCTACCAGCTGGTAATGGCGGTGAAGTCAGGCCACCTTCCTGAAAGGCTGCGCCAGATGAAGTGTGGACCGCTGTGCCACGCCAGGTGGCTCACCACGGGCCAGAGAATCCTGTTCCTGTGGACCAGAAAACACAACGTGACTGGCAAGGACCTGAAGGTCTTGAAGATCCTGGTCAACTTCTGCTTGCAGGTCTACTTCAAGATCTACTTCGACATCAAGGTGAAACACTCTATCCAAGACGCACCGTACCACATCCTCACCCAGCTCAAGGTGGTCAAGACTCAGCCCAAGAGGGTGAGGGAAGCAGTGATGCCCTACATCAGGACCGGCGCGTGGTACGCCCACTCTGAGTGCCTGCTCCTCTCCCTCCTGGCCAGTGAGCACCGCGAGGACCGCGAGTTCGCCATCGACCAGATCGTGAGGCTCAGGGGTGACAGCGAGTTCGGTGACGTAAGTGTGCGACCACGGATCACACCAAAGCTCAACCCGTCCGCCAGCAGCCTCACCAACCTGATCAGCTGGCAGCCGGATGAGGTGTACGAGCCTGTATTCACTTGCCACATGCCGACTTCCGACATCAAGATCTTCGCCGACAGTCCCTACAGGCCTCCCAAATTCTGCAGTCACACACAGTCCACCGAGAGGTGCGTAAAGCTCGTCACCGAGGCGGCCGCCGAGGTCTGCGGGCAAGAGGCCAGAGACGGCTACATCCGTGCCAGGGTCCGTCACAGGGAGGCGATGTCCGCCTTCGATAGCAAGAAGGACATACTTGCGACCTTCTAGTCTGCATGTGGTCGTATGAGGTGATGTCCACCTTCGCTTGCAGCATTCTAGTCCGTATGTGATCGTGGAACCGATGTTTATTCCAGTCTAGCCGATGTCTAGTCCACCGTTTATGTCTAGTCCAGTCCAGTCCAGCCATGTGGACTCCAGTCCAGAGCCGATGTTATGTCTAGTCCAGAGTCGATGTCTAGTCCACCGTTAGAAAGGACTGTGATGCACTTAACGTGTTCTGATGTCTGCGATTTATGGAGAGGTGTACAAAGTACCTTGAAATACACTCTTATGTGGTGTTTTCATTGTCATTTCTCTTGGCTGGTCAGCATTTCGTCCAAAAGTACGCTGATATGTCTTTGAGAGCCGCCAGGATCTTTCGGGCCAATTATGCATATACGCCACAAGTCATGGAGGATTAAAATTGAACATTAGGACAAAATGGTCCAATGTATGCGTAAAAAAATGACAAAATTATGATTCTAAGACCATAGAAACCCATGAAAACATGCCCCTAACAGTTACAAAAGACACCATCGCATTGCTCTGACACCATAATTTTTGCATTAAACTTGCCTGCTGATTTCGCCATTAGCCGCTATATAACAAGCCCAGCAAATACAAAAGTGCGATTGAAGTATTGAAGATGCGATTTAATCGAAAAAATATCTTATACAAAGTCGCTTTAGAATTCAATTTTACATAAGAAAAACAGTGTGCCGAAGCAAAAATAGAAAACTCGATTATTCGACCCGCCCTAGACTGTCCAAGTCGACCGTTATGAAGGTCAAGAGGTTGATCAAAGCTGGCCAGAGTCTTGATACTAAGTCAAGAAGTGGAAGGCCTAGGTCAGTGAGGACGATGGCGAACATCAAGAAGGCCCGAAACGTGATCAACAAGAACCCAAAGACCACGATTTCGAAGGTGTCCAGGACCCTTGGGATCAGCCGCCAGACGGGCCAAAGGATTATCAAGAAAGACTTGTCGTCGAAGAGCTTGAAGATTAGAGACGTGCCGAGTGTTGGTAAAAGTGCTGAAAGGAGGTTGAAACGTACAAAGGCCTTGAAAAACTGGATAAAGAACTCGGCCAACTCCAAGAAGGTGCGAATTTTCTCAGACGAGAAGCTCTTCGTCATGGACGCCGTGGTCAACAAGCAAAACGACAGATACATCTCTGACCTTCCCGTGAGCTTGGTAAGCCCTGAGATCAAGTTCAACTCGGTATCCAAGAACCCTGCGAAGATCATGGTCCTCGGCATAGTAGCCAGCGATGGCAAGAAGTGTCCAATGATTTTCATCCCCGAGAACGAGAAGGTCAACGCCGTAGTGTACCAGAATCTGCTGAAAAGGCATTTCTTGCCTTGGCTAAGGAAGAATTACCCTCCTGGCACTTATGTCTTGCAGCAAGACGGCGCCCCCTCCCACACAGCCAGGTCGACGCAGGCCTTCTTGACCTCAGAGGGGGTCGAGTTCTGGCCACCTTCCATGTGGCCCCCCTCCTCACCCGACCTGAACCCGCTGGACTACGCCATCTGGTCGCGGATGGTCGGGGAGGTCAACGCGGAGAGGCACAGCAACATGGACAGTCTGAAGAAGGCCATCAAGAAGAGCTGGAGGCACATGGACGTGGCCTTCATCAAGCACGTCACCGGCCGCTTCCGCGACAGGCTCGAGAGGGTTCTGGAGGGTCAGGGGGCCTATGTGTCTTGAGTGTGTGGAAGATACTATGAGGTCATCATTCTGTGAAAATTTCAGTTTGATATCTAATAAAATGGATGACCTATTGGACTTTTTCTTAAAATGGTGCGAGAACTTTTGGGCAACTGTTTATGTGCCGTAGTACGCGCTCGCGAGTAACTGGGCGGAGCAAATGGTCACCGATACAGAGGCGGAACTGGTTGCCCTCCCGCTCGCCGAGCGACCTACCGCTAAAACCCGCGAGACCTGTACCTACATAAGTGCCTGCAATGGTAGGAACTGCACTGCCCGTGTGTATGTGGTTGACGCAGGAACTCCGCTGTTGGGCATATACCTGCAGATGGAGCTGAAGCTGTCATCAGGAACGGTGAAGCCGAGTGTGCGGTTCAGGAGGCTGATGGTGTCTTACCAGGGACAGCAGGATTCGTTCACCGGATTCGTGTGAAGCCTGAGGCTGCTTCTATGCAGCACAAGATGCGACCACCCCCGTTCACCCTGAGACCCCGCAGGTGAAGGAGCATCTGACAGAGCATCTGCAGGAGGCGGGAGTGATCGAGAGGGTGGACAGCTCGCACTGGATATCACCGATCGTGGTATCCAGATAGACGTATTAAACGTGCTATCGGACCGAAGAAGAACGATAAACTGAGAATGTGGGTCGATCTCAAAGCCGTTGACGAGGCTATCGAGGCCAATGGCCATCAACTGGCAGCCATGCAAGACATGCTTGACAAGGTGCAAGGGGCCATTGTTCTCGTGTTTGGACTTGAAGTCGGCATACCATCAGTTAGAGCTGCACCCAGACTCGTGGCCACTGCTCACGTTCGTATGCCACGAGGGAACTGTCCGTACGGCGCCAAGAGCCTACCGATGGCGTCCCAGAAGGCGATAGAGGCGATGTTGAAGGGCCTGATCAGCGTGCAAGTCTACCTCGACGACGTCATCGTCTTCGGAGCAGACGGCAGAGAGCGTGAGCGACTGGCTGCAGCGTTGGCTCGTATGACTGGTGGATCGTGCGACTGATATGCTTACAGCGAGTAAATGGGAAAAATAGGTTACTAGCATAATGGGTCGATAATATTGTCCACTTTTTCTCAGCGCGAGAATGCACCACGTGGAAGTTTACTGCATGAGAAGTTCACCTTTCAGGATAATTCTTCGAGAAGGTAAGTATACTTTAGTTATATATAGTTTGCTATCACATGTTCCACAAATATCAAACCCTGCACGCCTACTTATTTGTGGATTAAAACAAATAAATACCTCACAAAAAAAAACAAGAATGCTGCACGCTACCCCTTCGAAACAAAACAACATACGTACCTGTTCGCAAACAACACGCACAATCTCCAATAGTGACTGTGAGAAGCATTCGCCAATCACGTTGCGTGCTTTCTGCTAGCGCTGAATTGTGCCGTGGGCAAAATGCCGTGAGTAGTGATGCCGCACTATCGTCTTTATAAGATTGCGTACTTACATGCCATGCATAGGGTACCGTGAAATGTCAGCACGGCATTTGATAACACGCCCTTTATAAGATTGGGCCCCGGTGTGATCTGGTTCTGGTCTGTCTGGGCCCGGTCTGATCCATGTCTGGGTGTGGGTCTCGTGTCCCGTTGGTGTCGTGCCTACCTCGGCCGGGTTGGGGATGCCCTCGCGCCGCCACTGTTGGTCGTCCCAGTGCGGCGAGGGTGGCGCGCACCAGTGGGCGGTGGGCGGCGCCAGGAAGGCGATCACCAGCACCTGCCAGCCGCAGACCACGCCCACCAGCGACAGCAGCAGCGACTGGCACGCCTGCCACCTGCCCACGGTCCCCATCGCGGCCAGCACCGGGTCGTCGCCGCCGCCGCCGGCCGCCGTCATGGTCCCGAGCTGAACAGACAGACGGAGCGGCGCGCTGAGAGTGGCAGACGGCGGAGCGGCCGACCTGCCAGCAGACAGACAGATCCCAGAAAATGGTTCTCCCATCACCTTAATCGCCCTGGGTCTGAAATTTTTACAGCAGCAGAAAAGATGCATGAAAAGGTACCCGCGTTTTTTGAGACATGCGAAAACCGCAGCGGGTGTTCAAACACCCCACCACCGCTGTTCCAGCCCGGGGCGGGCTGGCGATTGAATGCGCCGTTCGCCACTCCTTGTCCAGCCCGTCCCCAGCAGCCGTCAGCAGCCCGTACCTGCTGTTGGCCTCTGCCTCTGCCTCTGCCTCCGTCGCTCGGCTGGGTCCGTGGCGGCCGGGTCTCCGGCTCCGGCTCCGTCTCCGGCTGCGGACCGCCGTCTCCGGCTGCGCTCCCAGAGTCCACGACCCAGATCACACTCGCCGTTGGTTGCTTCACAGGTCAGTCAGCGACCACGGCCAGCCGCTCCGTCCACCACAGCACAGGTCAGTCAGCGACCACGGCCAGCCGCTCCGTCCACCACAGCACAGGTCAGTCAGGTGACCACGGCCAGCCGCTCCGTCCACCACAGCACAGGTCAGTCAGGTGACCACGGCCGACTGCTCCGTCCACCACAGCACAGGTCAGTCAGCGACCACGGCCAGCCGCTCCGTCCACCACAGCACAGGTCAGTCAGGCGACCACGGCCAGCCGCTCCGTCCACCACAGCACAGGTCAGTCAGGTGACCACGGCCAGCCGCTCCGTCCACCACAGCACAGGTCAGTCAGGTGACCACGGCCGACTGCTCCGTCCACCACAGCACGGGTCAGTCAGGCGACCACGGCCAGCCGCTCCGCCTCTGGGTCGGTGCCAGCTGTGACGTCATTCCCGGCGATCGAACGGGCCGGCGCGCGCGCAGATCCCCCAGGGCGGCGCGGCGGGGGGGGGGGGGAGGTCAGGTGACAGCCGCCGGGGACAGATCGGCTGATGCCCCCGGTCCGACAGAGCAACAGCTGAGCATGCCCGACACTTGGCCCGACAGAGCGGGCACAGGTGTTCAGCTGCTTCTACTGCTTCTACGCTCCGGTGGTAAGGTGTCCTTGTCCTCAGGAGATGACACACGGTGCTACTGCTGCCGCTCACGAACGTTCTGCCGCATTGCGCAACTTGGCAATGAAAAAAGTGGCATCTTCTCGTCAGCCCTCCGTTCAATAGACATTTTACACAGGGCATCATTGCCCAACACATCCCTATGCTCAATCCTGGGGAGCCGAAACTCCCTAGCAGCCACACAAATACCACTTTAGATTCGGCAACAGTGCCTGGTTCGCATTTCGCTCCGAGTATCTACCTACTATGGAACAGGCAGCCTATCAAATGCCAATTAAATCGTACAAGGCGCCCAGGTTATATTCAACATCCCTAAAGCGGCAGTGGAGCCTATCTTGAGATGTGACACCGTGTTATGTTAACTATAGAATATGTGATTCATGTTATGCAATATGCATGGTGATTGGTGACCCAAATCCCTCGCCAGACCTATCCAGTATCCATCCTCTACAGACGCTTTGGACGACCGTGGGCGTGCAGTAGGGTTGTTAAAAAAGACGATTTTGGAAAAGCATACGGGCTTAGGGCTCGTGTGGTGAGGTATTCTTTTCTGAGATCAATGATACCTTTTTTCCGAAAAATATTGAAAGCCAGGGGTCCCCTAGGCCCAAACGGCTTAAAGAGGATCATGTCGCGCCGGCCAGCCGGCTGGTGTCAATAAGGGCGAGAATGCCGCGCTGCGCCCGCGCAGAAACGTCTTATCGGTAGCTCGGCGGCCGGAGATTCGCCGGGGGCAGGGGATGGGTGCGTGGTCGTGTTCCACACGATCGGGTGCGCTGGGTCAATGGGTCATGTTATTGGGGTGGGGACACAGGGGCCGTCGGCCCAGCAGGGACAACCAGTTTGTCGTAGTTCTTGTGAAAGAGTCAGTGTCGCATCAGTGCATCTGTCGTGGTCCTTAGTGGTGCAGCGAGTTGTATAATTTGGTTGCGGTGACTTACCTGTTCTCGCCAGGGTGAATGGCGCGGCTGCGCCAGAACTGTCGTAGCGTGGGTTGTTGGAGGACGCGGGGGGACGTGAAGAGGGGGTGTGATGATGTGGCTTGAGGTGGGACATGAGAACCGAAGAATGTGAAATATATCAATCAGCAGTAAACACGCGAGTCCAGAGACAAAGGAGAGAATCCATTTCAGTGGTGGCAGTCGGTGGGGTCTCTGGTGCGGCGTTTTTGATTGATTGTTTGATCTAAGTGAAGTAACGGACTAGATAATGGCTGAGAAAGATATTGGACTCGAAAAGTTCAGTGGCACAAGCGCCAAAGAATGGGTGGTGTGGTTGGAGGACTACCGCATTTTTGGTGGACTGAAGAAGTGGAGTGAGGAAAAGCTGGTGGCTAACTTGAGATTTTTTGTAACTGGTGAAGTCAAAGACTGTGTGAGGCAGCTGTGCAGTGAGAATCTGCCGAAAGAACTCGGTGACCTCGAGTCAGAGGTCTCCAGCTTCTTGGGAGGAGCTTTGGATCCGGTGAGTGCCGTGCAGGAGCTTGACAGCCTTGGATATCTGGGTAACGTGAGGCGCACCCTGCTACAAATACAGGCACTGATACCTGCTGCATACCCAACTCTCATGAACAAAGCCGACAGAGATCAGACGTCTCTGCTGCATCTGATGTAACTACTCCCACCCTCCGGTAAACATGAGCTGGTCAAAATGGGAGTGACAACACTTGACACAGCTGTCAAGACAGTGACAGGAATAGAGAGAGCTGAGAGGGCACTGGGAGACCACACTGGTGCTGGTGTTCACAGAGTAGTGGCACCAAAGGACTGTGACAGTGGAGAAAAATCAGTCATGAACTGTTATGTTTGCGGTCTGATGGATCACCTTAGAGTGAACTGCCCCTTCAAACATCCGGACGGCACCAGTTCCCCTCAGAGCGGCTTCCAGGCCGCCGGTGACAGGCGGTCTGAATCCGTCCCGGGCACAACCCGCTGCACTCGGGACGACGGTGAGACAGCCAGGGGCAACCCAGTCAAGACACCCCTCTGCCTGTGTCCAGAGACACCCCTTGAGACCCAACCCGGCTGGGGGATGGGACCAGTCAAGGCGCGGCCAACCCACTAGCCGTGCCCACGACCGACCCTCTGCGAGCGGCGAGTCCGACTGGGACCGTGAGGGGCCTCCAAGCAGCGACACAGCAGGTACACACACTGACGAGGACACGGGGCGGCCCACCATCCATGCAGACGAAGGCATGGTGGGTTCTGCAGGGGACCAGGAAACGGCTCCCGAGAAACGTACACGTTCCGGCCGAGTAAGTCGTACCCCTACCAAACTGACAGACTTTGTAGTGGGCTGACGGTGTATGATGTTGACTGCCGGGTGGTGCGTCGATAGGGTTAGCGTTATAGTTTAAGTTGCTTGTTTCAATGTCCATGGTTAGGATATCATTGTTGTCGCGTCGCTCTGCCGTGGGTTCGTGGCCTTGGGGAAGTGTTGGTTACTTTCCATTGCTGCATCTGTGTGATATTTTAGGGCCCAAAATGTCGCTCGGATACACTTGTGTAAATGACTTGTAAGTGGAAGAACCGTTTGAACCCATCTTGTAGAGTCGCCCCGCACAATATTTTCCGAACCAGATATGTAGGTAACTTTTGTTGTTGTTTCCGGGGCGGAAACTTCAGCGGAAGGGGGTATTGTAGCGAGTTGTATAATTTGGTTGCGGTGACTTACCTGTTCTCGCCAGGGTGAATGGCGCGGCTGCGCCAGAACTGTCGTAGCGTGGGTTGTTTGAGGACGCGGGGGGACGTGAAGAGGGGGAGTGGTGATGTGGCAGGACGCGGGGGGACGTGTCCGTGAAGAGGGGGAGTGGTGATGTGGCAGGACGCGGGGGGGGGGGACGTGAAGAGGGGGAGTGGTGATGTGGCTTGAGGTGGGACATGAGAACCGAAGAATGTGAAATATATCAATCAGCAGTAAACACGCGAGTCCAGAGACAAAGGAGAGAATCCATTTCAGTGGCACACCCAGTGTCAGGGATGTTCAGAGAATTCAGCCCTCTGCTCAAAATGTGAACATGTTGGTGCATCTTCTGGTCCCGGATGCACACCGCAAGCCGGTGCGGTACGGGATGAGCCTGTCCCGGTTCGTCCCCGCTTTCGACGAGAGTCAGTGCTTGGAAGTGCAGCAGGCCGTGGAACAGCTGCAGTCAGCGGACAGTCAATGGTCAGGAGGCCATCGACAGCCTAATGGAAAATCCGTTCGCCGCCCGCAGAAATCTGATAGTACGAGAAAACGTGTCCGTGGCGGTCATCAAGGAGCAATACGGTGCGCATTTATGTGCTGATTGTCATGCTTTTAGCATTTCTGTGTCATTGCAGCCCGCTGCTGCCTGGCCTAGGAATGATCTACCGGGTGGTACCGAAAAAGAAAAGGTACGACTCTGTGAACAGCTGTTGGTACTGCCAAAATAAAAATAAAAATGAAACGCCATCTCGAAACTGTACATGCCTGCGAAGAGCGTGTTAAAGCTGCGTCGACCGGCACAAAAAGGGAGCAGCACGCCAAATTTCAAAAACTTCTGAATGAAGGCAATTATGATCACAACATGCGTGTGCTGGAGGCTGGACACGAAAAGCTCCTGCGAAGAAGGCACTCAGGGACCAGAATCCCAATATCGAGCTTCTTGCCATGCCCATCGTGCAAAGCGTTCATGTTGAAGGATGACCTGTACAAATTTGGAGATAAAGTTCGGAAAGGAGAGGAAAGCCTGTACGGACAATCGTGGCGGAAGCTGAATGTATGCTTCCGTCGTCAGAAAACGATGTGATCATGTCCGACCCGACAGTGTTGGAATATGTAAATGTTCGGTACACTATGAAGACCAAAGGCACGACACCAAACCAGGTAAAAACACTGAAAACCCGTCTCAGGCTGCTGGCAAAGCTCCTGATAAGGGCGAGAGAGATGGAGCGAACGAACATGTCCATGCGAGATATGTGTACTCCTGCTCGTTTCGAGATGATCATCAAAGTTTGGCAAGAGCTCGGCGGTAGTGAGGTAACTGATGAACAACCGGGCTTCAAAACACCGTCGGTCCCCAGGGCAATAGGCCAAGCCCTTGGAAAGGTGATCATGGTGATGGTGATTGGGATTGTGGTGTACAATACATTGGTGGTGTACATACACGAATATACATTCTGATTCTGATTCTGATTCTACAGGTCAACGACACGGACATGGAGTTTGTGGTGGACACGGGAAGCCCAGTGACCATCATAGGATCGGACAGCAGTGTTCCAGGTCTGTGCCTACAGAGATCGGACTTGGTGCTGTCATCGTTCACTGGGCATGCCATCCCTGTCAAGGGTGAGGCAGTAGTGAAGGTTCAGCGTGGCACAAAACAGAAGAACCTGCGTCTGGTGGTGGTCGACTTCCCCAAGCCAGTGAACCTGTTGGGCAGGGAATGGATGGCAGCCCTGGGCCTGACCCCACAGGGGTGCTGCAGCTGAAGAGGGAGCAGCAGCTGGAGGATGTGTTGGCAAGACATCAGGAGGTCTTCAGTGAAGAACTGGGAAGGGTGCCGATCAAGATCAGCTTGAAGCTGAAGGAAGGTGCCAAACCAGTGTACAGGAAGGCAAGATCTGTACCATTTGCCCTGCAGCCGCTGGTCGTTCATTGTAAGGGGGGCCGGGTCGCGCCATCGGTGGGCTAGGCTGACCACCTGGAGTTTATGTGAGCACCGCCAGGGGCGCGGTGATCGGCGGCCGGGGCTGCGGCGGGCAGTCGCGCGTCGGCGCCGGGACG